TTACAGGACGGCATCGATGTCACAGACTTCAGCACTGCTCTGGAACTCCCATCGTTCAGCCTTCCGCAGCTTCCAAAAGGAAATATCTCTTGTTTTGATGCAGCATTTCGGGATGTAAGCTGAGAAAAAGGAAATAAATGAAATACAATACACACTTTGCTTGACTGAAAAAAAAAAAGAAAAGAAATTGAATCAACTTTGTTAAAGTCTATAAACATCCTAATTAGCTTTGAAGTTTTGCCATGTGCTGTTGTAGCCTGAAGCTTGTGATTAATTGGACCAAAAAGATCAGTTAAATCTTTACATGTTGCAACTGGTATTGACTGTAAAGGCAGAAAAATTATGCTTGATACTTTTAACTTTAAAAGACTGAAACACCAAGAAAAATTTACAAGTGTGTTCCAGCTGCTCCTTTCGGAAAAATAGAAAACCCCCAAAAACTCAAACACTTCAATTTACACTAATTCCAAGGAATACTTTTAAATAATAATAAGATTAAATGGATTTATCATCTGATTATTTTCGTCTGTCTTGTGCAGAAAGGTGCAGGTCTTACCGTCAGTGGAGATGATGGCCAAAGTCATCAGAGAGACGACCAGGAAGACGACCTTTAGATCCATGACGGCAGAGAAACTGTGGGGATAAACGCTGCTGCAGCTCTATATAAGCTGATCGTGAACGTGCATGTGTATGTGCACACACACACACCCCTAAGGCCACCCAAACACACTTTTTAATTTGGATCAGCAACTGAAAGCCATGAAAGGCTGTAGAGCAGTGATGATCAGTGGAGATTAGGTCTTTTATTAGGATAAATCCTGCCATAATTGAACCCAGATTATTAAAACTGTGGATGCTGGATTGATGCAGGAATGCTACCCGGAGACAGGCTTAGACAAGTTGAATGACTGCACATCAACCGACTCTCTTTTGATTCATTGATGACACATGATTACCTGACAAAGCCACACAAGCAGCAACTAAAGCTATAGGAAAAATACAAATAAAACCGTTGAATCAGTTTTGTTTAAACAAAAAGCCAGAAGGAGGTCAAAAGGAGCAGAGGATTTGTTGCAAGGAAGTTCATGATACCAAATGTTCTACATTTTTTGAATGCAGCACGTGTGGCAGGTGCTGTGCATGTTTCTAGATGATTTATGTTTTTCCATGAACATGACTTCAACACGTGCTCCTGCAGTGAAAAGGCAAAGTTTTTTGTTTTGTTTTTGGAAAACAACAACAAAAAATGTGATTGGATGACTCTGGAGATTAACCGTGTACTATGAGCAATGGAAATGTTTAAGCTTTGTATTGTGTTTAAAGCTCTAAACCTTCAGTTTCTTTTTAAGAATAAGTGCAGCAAAACTTTAAAGCTACAGCAGTAAGTTTGCAGGTGCAAGATGACAACACACAGAAGGGAAAGTTGACAATTTGTTCAATTTTATTCACTTATGCATCACCATTTAGCAGACGGTAATTTTCTATCAAAGAAAATTAAATAACTATTGCTGCTAACAGGAACCTCTCTTGCTCAAAAAAACTTTTCATATTTGCTTCCATGCCCAACAATAATTATGTTTTAAAACCTTTTTTTATTATTTTTTATGGAGAAAAGAAAACATTTTCGCTACATGATGAAATATAGCACATGGCCTGTTTACCCAGAAGAAGCTTCACAGTAAAATTTAATTGACCTTATTACCTTGTCATAATAAATTAACTGTAATTAACCCTTTTTTTTTTTTTTTGGTTCAGCCTCACCAGACATGACCAGGCCTGATTACTGCCTGACCTCTACAATCCAGAATTTGCTCAAATAGAACCTGTTTGTCAACATGAAGTAACCAAAAACATTACAAAAGCCATTCGCACCTGAGCTCTACAGAAAATTGAGAACAAATCAGACTGACGTCCATTTTTCTGAAAATAGTTACAAAGGGATTTCTAAGGCTTCTGGATTTCAGTCAACCACAGTGAGAGTCATTAACCACAAATGGAGAAAACATGAAGCAGAACTAAACGATAGAAAGAGAAATAGAAAATCCACCTTTAAGCAGCTCAAAAAACATAAAATGAAGATTTTACAAGGGTTTTGTCAAAAACGTCAATGTAATTACTGAGCTGTGACAAGACCTTTGAAAAGCTATTCATGATGGAAAGTTAATCTGCGACAATGTATAAGACTCAGTTTTTGTTATTTCAACAGCTTAATGCCGATTGTTGCTGCCAGATAGAGAAATCAGACTAGTTGGCTTGGATAACTCTATTTTCTTTACAAATGAAATAACAATTCAAAAACTGCTTTTTTATTCTTTCAGGTTATCTTTGTGATGATTTGAAATATTTTACTGTTACAAAACAATAAAACAAACAATGAATTAATCTGTAAGAGGACAGACATCTTTTCATCGCACTGTGCATCCTGATGCTGTAGTGATTATTATCTAAGTTAAAACCAATCAAAATAACGGAGATTTTCATCAATTATTGGTCAGTTCAATGCTTGGTTGCCATTGAGACTGGACACCAAACCCTCATCCATGTGCAGGAAGCCACTGTACTTCCGCGATATTCTCTGGATTAGAGAGCCTTATGTTTGTTTCTTCATTTTTCAATAATTATTAAACAAGAGATTAATTACTTTTTGAATTACAGCCATTGCGAAAGCTGTTTAATTAAAACTACTTCATTCCAATTCAGTCCAGCTTGTATCCAGTTTATTAATATTCATTTCAAATGACCATGTAACACTGTGTAAAGTAAGCATTCCACCAAAAAGACATAAGATGTAACTCACGGCAAGCAGTTAAAACACTTATTGGTGGTTATATTGAAACTTTCTTTACATCACGGAGATCAGAGCAAGTCAATGTTGTTCTAAAGTGGTTCCATTGGCGGTAATACAATTAACCATTCGCCGTCATGGTAAACACCTTTAGAGCCAATGTTTATTGTTGGAGCTTCCCACATCTCACCACATGTTATGCAAGTTAACTGAGCGTGCAAGCGGACAATATTATTTAGGAGGAAAAAACGGTTTTGCTCTGGAGGAGTTTTTTTTAAAGTAGCAAAGGCAACAGACAGGGAGTTGTTGGTTCAGGAACTCACATTAAATGATGTGGCAGTGATCAAAACCGACAAGAAAGCTTCTTTGTTTACAGACGGACTTCTGTTCCCACGTTCCAGATGCTGAAGCAAGAGTTTCGCTCTGTGTGTGCTCCTTCTGTCTTAGCCATTGAGACACGAAGACCGTGATGCACTTAAGTTGTATAACAACCCAGCATGTTTGCTTTGCAAAATAAACAGTAATAATTTACTTTGGAGCGCCAAATAATCCCCCGTTACCTCTGCTTGACTGATGGCTGCTTTTAGAGAATGCGGTTTTAATTCACAGCAATGTCTCTTAGCGAATCATCAAAAGGTCGGCAATAAGAAAGACTATCTGTTTTGACAAAGCCGAGACGATTCACGTTTTAACAGAAAATGGAACCAACTTGGCATTCGGGAGTCTCATTCCTCCAGTGGAAACACGTGACACTGGTTCAAATGGGCTTCAAACTGTGTCGGTGGAAAACTCCTAGCAGAGAACTTCAGAAAGACCTGGAACCAGCGTCTGCAGCTTTTCCGTATGTGACAGACCCAATAAACCCAATAATCAATGCACACTGTGTAATATTCCAATGTGGAAGGAAAAGCATAAGAAAGGCGACAAACTGCCTTTCATCGGCATTTTGAAAAGTCAGTAAAATAAAAATAATCTGGTCAGATGAAACCAAAACTGAAGTTTTTGGATGACAAGGCACACACCATGCCTGGAGTACCTAAGTAATTCTTTTTTCATTACATTTCAGCTGTATTGAGATAAAATCACTACTAGATCTGGGGTTTGCAAGCAACTGGCTCTTTGGCTCAGAGTCTCACTTATTAAATGATGAAATATTATCCTGTTTTGTTTTTTTTTTGTTTTTGTTTTTTTTATTCTGTTGTTTTCTTCTTTGCCCCCATGAAGAAACCTTGATACCACCATGAATCCCCTTGTAAATTTAGTGCAGATCAGCCACTGGCAAGATGCAGGGACCACCCAGGAGAGGTTATATGAAGGCTGAAAACAAAGATGGGCTTTAAAACAAGACAGTAATCCCAAACATACTGCTAAGAAAACTTTCTATTGAATTTTGTAAGAGAAAATAAAGTCGCTAAAATTACCCAAATCTAATGAAAGTCAGAAAATAATATATAGAAGGAGCCCCCAAAACCTTCAATTTGTGTGAAAGAATGGCTCAAAATCTCAAAGTTTCTCCAAACAGGAAATGTTTTCACGCTGTCATAACCAAAAAAGCATTTCCTTCAAAGGTGTTTAATGCTCTTTCCCTGTCATTCCACTTTATTACACATAATTTATGGATTAATTAGTTTTGCATGTTCAACATTGATTTTCCTCTGTAATCAATGTTGTGCACTTTGCACTTTTTAAGGGGAGTGACACTTGGAACAAAACTGAATCTTAAAAACAAAAGTATGTATAATGTATAGGAGAAAGGCCGTAGGCTCTAAAACAAAGTTGATCGATTGAAACGTATAAATGTCTAAGCCTGGGAGGTGCTGCATTCACTTCCAGCTGAAACACGATATCGACAAACCGCCATCACCTGCAGCTCTGCCACCCTTGTCAGGTTTCATTCATCATGAAAAAAAGACGGTAAGAAAATTACAATTCCCGTCTCACTCGTTCATCAAATAAAACATGTTGGCACAAGACTTTGAGATCTCTGCGCTTTAAAGAGGATGACACCAGCTCCATAAATTACTGACTAAATCACACCAATTACGCTAGATGACTTCTCAAGTGTAGTTATCATTCCATTCTCTTTCACGCACACAGAAACCTCACTAGGTGTGACTAATGAAGGCCCACAGGTATGATGAGAAAAAACAACAAGGTCCTTCGGGCAGAGTTACACACTACATTTACCTCCTCCATAAGACAGTGACAACTTTAATCCATGATCCTTTGTTTATTTACACGATTTCCTTTGTCTTGACTTGTGCACATTATGTGCATGTATGTACATTTCTTCTTAAATTGATGGTAAACAAGATCTATGCTGTGGTTCGTTTCATTCTCTGTTCTTATGTTTCTATTAAAACAAATTGAAGAGCACAGAAAAGACGTTTAAGACAGAAAAAAAAAAAAAAGTCGACTGGGTTCAGAGTTCACAGATTGAGGTCTAATATTCTGTCGTTGCTGCAGGTCGTCGGGCGCAGAGGGGGAGCTTGACGCTTATGGCATCAGTAGTCGTTCTGTCCTCTGCTGGCCACGTGAAGGAGACGAAGCAGCAGGTCTGTAGGGGAGCTCCTTGCAGAGCTTTGGGCCGGATCTGCGGCGTCTGTCTCCCCGAGGCAGTCAGAGTCCAACATGCAGCCCTCTGAGAAGGAACACGGATCAGTTCACATCACCGTCATGTGACCATTAAACCCAGAGTTAAAGACGAGACTGTACCAGAGTTGCAGCAGAGTCCCGAGGAGGCGCAGTGCCCCCCCTCAGGTCCACAGGGTCTCCCTCCAGGCTGGCAGGGGGTCAGCAGGTAGTTCTCCTCCTCACAGTGAGCTGCAGCTGCGGAGCCCAGTAGGCAGCCCAGGCCCTCTCCACAGCAGATGCTGGGGCCAAAGCAGCGGCCCCTGTCTCCAGGGCCGCAAGGCATGCACTGGAAAAAGGCAGAGCAGGTGAATGCAAAGAAAACAAGTATTTGGTTGCAGCACGAGAGCATTCAGAATAACTTTGCTCTCATATTTACTCAAAATTAATGAACTTAAAAAACTTAAAATGGATCAGAAATATAAAATGGAACTGACTGAGCAGAACTGAGCTGTTACTTATGTCTTCAGGACATTAATACAATAAATAAAACACAATCTGTTTTGTACACAAGTTGAAACTGGGTTTACAAGGAAAAAATACTTAAACTATAAATACTATGTATATAATTTTATTACCACGTCATATTTATTAAACTCAGCTTTTATTCACTCATCCACATTTAAAAAGAAAAGTCAATCACTTCACATTAAAGTGAAAATTCTCTCTTATTCACTCACAACTTTGTTCTTAAAATTCATATTTTACCTAGACTACTATACATTATTCAAGTTCCTTTCACATATAAAATATTTATACATTTATTGATTCTTTTTCTATTAAGCTCCAACTTTACTACTTTTTAAAGAAAAGGTCATATTTTATTTACCTCCGTTTCTTAATGAAAAATACTTTCTTTATGAATGGTGCCATATAAATAAGAACTGCCACTTTTTAGATATATTATTGATTTGCTGACAAAATTAATCACACAATCAAAAACTTATCTGAATTTCAAATATTTTCAAGATTTCTTTCTTGAAAGGAAACATTGGGCAAGAATAGTCCTTAATGAAGCAAGAAAAACTGGAAAGTTTCACATTTATATGGTCATCGAAGCTATTTCTTCTTTCTTGTGAGTTGCAGTTGATTAAAAAATATACATTTAACTGGATAAAAAAACTTCTTCGTGGTTCATAGACTACAGTCTGAAATCTTCAGAAAATTTGTATCAAGCTTTCAAAACAGGAACATTATTTATATTTTTGTTTCATTTAATGTCCAGATCTGACTACATTTCCCAGTTTTGAGAATAAATTGGCACATTCATCTAAATTTAAAACATAAAGAAACATATATTAAAATAGATCTCTAAATGTCAGATATTCTCAAAATTTGCATTGAAAATATTCATGAATTAGCCTCTGCTTTAGAGATAACATCTAAAAATGAAAACAAAGTCTGAAAGACAATACACTAAACACATCTGAAAATGTAGTTTTATACTTTAACATAGAAATTTGTCATTTTAAATTATAGAATGTTACATTTTTTCTTAATTTTTTTTAATCTTTATAATAATCCATCTTTTGCTAATTCAAACCTACAAATGAAACATATCATAAATCTGCTTACTGATGATAAAATAGCTGTAACGCATTATAGACGTCAAGATTATTTGTTTCAAAAGAAATAATAATAAAAAAAACACATCATCAAATAAAAATAAAGATGTTACACCCTCAGGTGCTCACCTGTCTGACGCCCCCCTCCGGCAGCGCCCGCTTCCCTCCCCGGGGGCAGTTCTGGATGTAGCAGGCGGAGGAGAGGGCGAGGAGTCCCAGGACGCACAGCAGGGAGTGATGCATGGCTGCTGCTTCTGATTCCCTCCGCTGGTGTGGATGTCTGACTGATAGCCCACCGATCATTCCTCACTTATAAGCACATGAACACGTTGTTTGACAAAGAGACCAACACCTGACGTCACTGACCGTTCCCCCCCTCCCCCCCCAAGGCTCCGTGCACGAGCCGTTTGCGCGCGCGGGGTCGCAGCAGATGTGAGTCTGCATCGGATGCGAGCATCAACCAAATCTACACAAGAAAACAGCATCTGTATTCAGCCCTGCGCCGCACTTTACTTCTAATAAGCTTTTCAGAATAATTTCCGCGCTGGATGACACAATAAATCTGCGGAGACAAAACAAGTAATTGAAGCTTAAGAACAACTAATCTGATTTATAATAATAAGCGGCGAGATGAAGAACAATTTATGAATATCATGCACGGTTCAGTTGTTCAGTGCAGCCATTTCCCGCGCTTGCTACATTCAGACAAGTGAGATCATGAGAACTTCAGGGTCACACAGATTATGATGCTGACTAAACTGTTGACGAGCATAAAAACATTAGCATTTCTAACAAACATACTTCTGCTGATTGTTCTTTTCCTATGCATGCTTTGAGTTGTTTCTCTCTAATTAGTTGTTGTGATGCTGATGAACTAAACAAGAGGTAAAACTGAGCATCAGCGGGTTAATGAGCGTAATGGTCCTTTAATGGGCCCCACAGTATTCAGATGGAACTTTACTCATATATGGCATTCGTCATAAATTTTTACATTTTCTCTCTTCAAGCATCATCAGACAGCTAGAAGGTGGTATTATGTTTTTAGCACCAAACCTGAAAAACATGCAAACACAACAAAATGGCAGCCAGAGAAACAATGTGGGGACTGTAAAGTCATTTTGAACTCATAAGTCAGAAGCTGTTTGGCAGCTTGGAAACTTAATGAACGAGTTAATTTACATTACATTTAGGCCGTGTCTACACTACTTCTTTGAAAAGAACAACAACCCAAAAACAAACAAAAAATAAAACAAAAATCCTCCAAAAATAACAGATTTCACTTCTTTTTAAATATTTGTTCATATTTGAAGTTTAATGGGTATCTAATAAGGACAAAGTGAGACAGAAGAGGGAAAAAAAAAAGCTCCAGGGCTCCGTTAATGTTATAGTTTCTGGCACAGAAAGCAATAATCAGTTTTAATCATCTCACTTGTTACTATTATGTGAAAAGCGATGTGTCAGCATGTTACTCTGAAAGACTTTCTCACCAGAACAGCTGACTTTACATTACAATACACTAAATATGTCTATAATGTAATAAAATGTCTAAAACGGCAATTCTTACTTTTAAATTCAACATAAATGTTGTATGGCTGAGATTTCAGCCATACAACATTATGCTGAGGACATTTTCGACAACGGCACCCAAACTCTGCAGCTCCCCACTAAATTTACTGTTTAGCTTTAAGAACGACCTCAACATGATGTTACACGAGTGACAATATAAGCGGGAGTGGTTACTCATCGAACAGGTTATGATTTCACATAATCTGTGGATATCAACAGACACTTTGTTCCTACATCGGACACTAAAAAAAAAAAAAAAAAAAAAAAAACGGGTAAAAAAAATTTTTTCCTAAACTTTTCCGCGGATTAAAAACACCTGCACCTCATAAAGTTGTCTC